GGGTCATACTATTTACAGGGTGGGATCTAGCCAGAACATTCCTTGTCAGGATGGCTCTGTGACATTCAGAATCTAAGGAGTCCACTTCCTCTTTCAGGGTCTGAACACCAGAAATGACTGATGCCTTGACAAACTGCTCTGTGATGGACAAATGGAATCTGTTGTAGACTGAAGGTATGAGCCCAAGACAGAAATCTTGAAGGACAACGGAGGGTCTGAGGCTGGGGAGAGCAACAAGATACAAAAGGCAGTCTAGTGAGTAGGGAATTGTAATTGCAGGAACTGGAGATCTGGGCACAATGGAAGGATCAAGTAGGGTGTGGGACCATCACTGTGTACGTCAGAGCCTGGCCCTCACCTCTGGGGGTGGACAGAGTCAATACATGCAGCTTAGGGCCTCAGAGCCCCGATAGATCAAAGGCTGGCTGGAAAAGCATGATAGCCTATGCATTTTTCACCTGTGCCCACTATTCCCTGTGGACAGAAACCTTGGACAGGGCTGAGCACTTTCTGTTCCCAAGTATGTCTCCTGGGTGTCTGATGAGCCACGTGATTCCAGATCTCTCAGATGCAGTTCATTGCATCCATATGATGCAAGGTTTGTAGCATATTGGAACCAAGAAATCTTACAGTTCAGTTAGTGAGATCATACTACCATCCAACATCAGGGCTGGACTTTGGGGTTAGTTTGCATTTGCAACACTTATTTTAGAGCAGATGGGGTGGGCAAAGAGGACCATGTATCAGGACTGGGCCAGTGCCCGGGAATGACCACCTGGAAGCACCACTCATAGTACTGAGCTTGATCTGAATTCTTTTTACCCACACTAAGTGTGGTGAGCTGGCTGAGAGGACGGAACAAGTCTACCCTGTTCACACCCACACACATCTGATGAAGGAAGGACATTGTTTTCTGAAGTTATGTACAAAAAATAGTACCACTTCTAAGTTTTCAAAGAGATCTTTTATCTATTGTGTCTAATGTACCAAAGATATATATCAGTGAGTATCCTTGGTCCCACTTTATAGATGTGTAAATTGAGATGCGGAACACAAAGTGACCTTCTTGGGGTCATTCAGTGACCCTAGGACAGAACTGGAGCTAGATCCCAGTCCTTCCTCCACCAGGCTCAGCTCCCCACCCCAGCCCACTCCTCCCCTCCACTTCCCAATCCGTTGAGCTCCCTATTCCGTCTTTACTTGACCTGTGGGGGCCAACTTGAAGCACTGGCAGGATCAGGGGTAAATGAGAGAGTGACTTTCTCATGGCATGTGACTTGTCTACCAATTTGAAGAGCATTTTCTTGGCCGGCGCTCTAATCCCAATGCTTGAGTAATGCCCTGAGACCACATCGATCGGGATCCAGGAAATTCCGACCTGACCGCAGCACATTGTAATGGCCTCTACCCGTGTGACCTTCTCCCTGTCAGAAAATACATCTTTTCTGCAAGTCCCCAGCCTGCAAAAATCACCCACAGCCAGCTTAGCCCAGACAAAAGGCTTTGAAATGGTCCAGATAATGCGTCGAGGGGAAAACTGTTTTCCAAGTGTGTAATTCGTCCACTATTAACCTGCAGCTGCAGGGATGGCCTGCTTTGATTCCCTTCTCCAGCCAGGGCCACTCCTGTCATGTACTGTGATGCATGGTGCATGGCAGTGGACAGGGAGCTGAGGCTTGTCATATTTCCTGAATGCTAATGACCCCCTGGCTGGCTGGCTGACATTCTGTCGGCCGCCTGGCTGCACTGCAGGCCTGACCCACCATGGAAATTGTGTGCAGCTTGGTTCTACCACAACACGTGTCCTGGTATTCAGCTGAGTGGTGTGAAAAGGGAGCTGGAATCCCCAGCTACCTGGAGGTATGTTTTTGAGAAGGGGCTGGACACAGACAACCAGAGTTTCTCATGTTTGCTGTGGGTTTGGTTTCTAAGGGTGGCACTATAGCCTGGGAGCTTTAGGGAGAAGTACTTACCCCTTGGGTGCTTTTATTGTCTGCAAAATAGTTGGACAGAGGAATAGGACTTACATTCCCCGAACTCTATATTTTTTCAGGTAATTCTGTTTTGTGCTAAATGATCATTAGAATTGAAAATGTACATATGGGGTGAGAAAAAAGGACAATATTTTTGCCACTATCCTCGTTTCTCTTCTATTCATTTCTTTTCTTTTCTTTGTCTCTCTTTTCATCATTATTATCATAGGAAGTGTTCTGGCCTTCCCTATTATCAAACTAAGCTAGGCCCAGGGATTCAAGGAATCAGGGCTGAATAAAGAGACAAGTTAGTTCTGGAGTCTACTCAGCATGCAGCCAGGGCCTAAGAGGCATGAGAAAGAAGAAGGCAAGTGGATGTGGAGCAGGTGTCAGGGTTGAGGCAAAGATCTGGCACCACTGAAGGTGGACAAGGGAGGCAAGAGGAAAAGGTGGGGAGGAATTCTTGATGAGATTTTCAAAAGCAATGGGAGGGACAGGATGAAGCCTTTAGGAGGGTGTTTCATAAAAGATCATGGGACAGGGCAAGAACTAAGATGAATACCCAGCTGAGTCAATAAAAAGTAATTCTCAACCACTGGCAAATATGTGACATTTGCCAGCTGATGTCTAGTCTGAGGATCTTTTTAATATAGTAATCCAAGAAATCATAAACCATGGGGGGAAATCCTGTTTATTAATTTTCCAGGCCCCAAATAAAAGATAAAAACCAGAAAAGCAAAATTATTCTTATGTCCCTGAAGGAATGTGTCTCCTCCAGGCTCTGGTTTCAACTGGAAATCGTATGGTTCACCTGTAGAGCTTCTAAAAGGCACGATGTCTGGGCCCCACTCTGGACTTAATGAGTCAGCAGTGAGGCCTTCTAGGTACATATCTTGGTTTGTCCTGCCTGTTGAGCATGGGTAATGGGCAAGCCACCCACTCATAAAACAATAGCAATAACAAACTACAGGCCAGGAAAACAACTGCTTAAGAACTGAGCTCCATCAGGCCAACTGTTTGTTCTACTAAATGTTAAATATTTGTTGAATAAATATTTCAAGACTAGACTATGAGTTTCACTAGATTCTGCAATCTTTGAGTGCAGGGACCATGTCTAAGTCATCTCTTTGTCCCCAGTGCCTGGCACACAGTGGATGCCCAATACATGTTTGTTGAGTATATAAATAAAGGAGTGAATGAATACATGAATGTGGAATGAGACTTCCTGTTGGAATAGAAAGAGTCCAAGTTTTGACATGAAAACCTTCATAAAACCAAATAGTCCTGGCTACACAGCTTTTTAATTTGGAATCCTTAAGCAAGTTTTTTTCACCTCTTTGAGCCTCAGTTTCTACAGTGGAAACAATGGGACTAATGCCACGAGCTTCATAGGGCTAAATGAGTTAATTTATGTGTACAGGCATATGTAACAGTTCAAAGCACTGCAGTCAATTAATGGGAATAAAGTTCTACTGAGACTCTGGTGCGAGCTGTTGGTTCCACTTCCCTGATGCCCAATGGCTCTTAGTCACTTCAGAGCTGGCAGCCTGGCAAAATGCAGGAGGGAGCAGGGACAGTGTGACAATCTGCCTCAAGTACTTCTGAGTCTTCAGATAAGACCAGATTCCAAGCTATGTTTAATTTTAAATGGCCTTGATAAACAATGACTCATTTTCCTTTAAATTCATCATCAGACAAAATTCCCTTCTTCCGGAAACTGTGCAGGAGTTTGGGTTGACATGACACTCCAGTGTAACCAGACAACATAATTTAAAGGAGCCCTGTGGCTTTTACATTTGAGGCCGACTGTTTCCCAGTATTTGAACCAAAGCTCGGAGAACAGCTGGGAGATGAGGTACTAACAAAAAGGAAATGATTTGAAATATCCATGCTATGCTCCCTGCAAATCAGAGCCCTGTGACTTGGCAAGCTTCATCTTTCCTCCCCACCCTGCCACCCCCATTGAAATGTGTCTCCTTACGGGGCTGTCTGCAGAGCACTCAGAGATGTTTACAGCTCTCTTCTTCATATGCTTGGGTGATAAAGGTTTGGCTTTGTTGTATCAACTGAAATCACAGAGCTGAATGTTTCCCTTGTCTGTCTAAGAAATGCTGCAAATATTACATCAGGTTGTGCCTTTGTGTCCCATCATTTATCTCACCTATAGGAACTTACATCGAGTGTGGGAAGGAAGAAGGTAGCTAGCTATAAAAGGTCACATCACCTGGCCTAGCCCAGCTCCCTGCCTCTGGGCAAGGAGTTCTCTAAATTGTTCGAAGAGGGCTGCCTGGCCTCTGGGGACTTTCTCCTACTAGTCCAATCCAGACCAAATCCCCTTGATCATCCAGTGGTCTTCCTCTCAGCCAAATCAATCCTCCCCACTTTTATTTTCTGATATCCCTAGACTTCTCTTCTTTGGTCTACTCAATACCAATGTCAGTTTTTTTCATAACTGGCTTTCCCCTTGAGATGAATAGAATTGGAGAAAGTGCTGTTGTTTGTTTCTCCCAAATTTCTCAGGGTCCTAACTGCTAAGAACCTCTTACCTTATAAAGCAGCTTCCTTTTACCCTCCAGGGCTGCTACATGCAGGCAGATATTAATGAGAATAAGGGTATTACCTTCATAGCCCTTTGGAGAGGGTTGGGGACTGAGGAAAGGTCTCTCTCTCTCTCTTTCTCTCTGGTTAGGATTTCATTATTGATAATAATGCTGAGCTATTGCAGGAAGAAAAAGAATTTACTCCACAAACATTTTGGAGCCTCCAGAGACTGTGGATCTATGTAGCCTTTCCAACTTCCCAAGCTCTTCATTTCTCCCCATTTTCCTAGTATGGAGCACAGAAGACTCGCGTGTTACAGGAAGCAGACAGACAGGAGCTCTTTTGCAGAAGCCAGGGAGAGGAAGGTGGGAGGACTCAGGCTTTTTCTGTTGTTCTTATTGCATATGCTTCTCTAACTAGAGCACTTGTACCCTTGGGGAAAATCATAGCAACCTAGGTGGTATAAAGGCACTGAACAAACATGTCTATCATCCCGGGGCATCAATTTTACTTGAAGATTTAGGGTTAAAACATGCTTATATGAAAACAAACACATATGAATTCTGGAAATGGCAAGGAACGTAAAATCCACATGATTTCCTGAGATAAAACATAAGACTTCAAAAGAAATGTGCTGTGGCAGGGCCGCTTCTGGGCCTCCCTGAGGGGCCACTCTCAGGCTCCCCTGGCAGAGGGAACCTTGCAGGGTGGAGACATTGGAAAGGTTCTGATGGGTCCCAGCCCACGAGAGGGTCAGCTGCCCAGCAGAGCACAAGATGCCTCCTGGGCAATGAAGTCCACTAGGTTGTGTAGGGAGTCCAGCAACCAACAAATAAACAAGAAGAGAACGTTCTTAACAGCAGAGAGGCTTGGCAGGCTGATGATGCATGGCAGCTCTAAGGCCTGTTCCATGTGGAGAAGGATTGAAATAGCTGATTTCTCCCAGTCATAGAGATGCATCATGGTGGATGGGGGGCTGTCATTTCCTTGAAAAAGGGGGATGGATTACGGTTATCAGAAAAGAAGCAACTCACTTTATTGCAAGGGAAGTTAGTCCCCAGCTGCTCCCATGGGACAGACACAGTCTCTCGCACACACACCTACACACACAGAGGCTCCATGCACCTACTTGCTGTCCTCAGAGCCAGCCAGAGAGGGGATCGGAGCAAATGTAATTAATGGGGCCACCCCAGGGGACTTGCTGGATGGCAAGCAGACCTGTGGTACCACGGAGCCAATTTCAGTAACAGGTTTAAGGGAGCCCTGAGACAGGAGAAAATGCAGCTGACTCAGCCATTCCAGCCTCCTCTGCGTCCAGAGGGAGGCTCAGGAGTCAGGGAGCTGGAGATTGCTGCAGAGACCGGTGCCAGGGGAGGCGGGGTCGCTCACCCGTGTCCGCAGGGGCAGCAGCAGGACTGACGGGAGAGGCAGGCATCGCCGGGGAGGAGGGCACTCTTCCTCTGCACAGAGGAAACTTGGTCCTCTTTCTCGGCCACTGTCAGAACAAAGCACAGTACTAAGTGTTCCGGGGTGCTTTAGGGTTTTCAAAGCATTTTCATGAATGCTATCTTATTTACCCTCCGCGGTAATTTTGTGAAGTTGGGTAAAAGAGGCTTGGAGAGTTTATTTATTTGCCAGGAGGCCTTGAGGTCAGGGCTAGAAACCAGGACTTGGCCCTGAGGCTGGAGTCCTCTCTCCTGTTTCATGTTGTCATCGGAGGCAGTGAAAGTGTCAGCACTCAGGGGTGCTGAACACTGAAGCAGGAGAATCAAGGGAGGGGGTCAGGACGAGAAGGTGTGAGGGCAGTGAGTGTAGGGCTTGCTCCTGGACTTCTCTGCTCTCTGCCTGTGTGACCTTAGTCAAGTCCTTTACCTTTCCAGCCTTCTGTAAAATAAGGACAGCAGGTGTACTTTGCAAGAATTAATAAAAGGGGGCCGGGGATTTAGCTCAGCAGTTTTGCCGCCTGCTGAGCAAGCACAAGGACCTGAGTTCGAGTTCAATCCCCGGTACCCCCCCCCCAAAGTACTTATGTCATGTTCTTGGTTGTAATACATCTGGCATATACTGTTTTCAGTATAAGTGAGATATTATTACCACCACTTTTTGAGAGCAGGAAAATGTATTAGCTTGGAGAAGAATAAGAAAATCTCTCTAGCACATACATGGTCCATTCAAAATTTTCAGAAGAGACTATTAATCCAAAGAAAGCAGCAGGAAAAATCTAAGCTTTGGAATGAGTTGTCAATAAAACCATATTTGAAGTATCCAGGTCATTTTCTCTGCAGCCTGGACATTGGGTACCCAGTCACTACAGCGGGATAATAGGATGACAAAAATCAGAGACTCTTCTTCCAAAGGATGACAGCGGACTTGAGGGGATCAAGATGATCAAGCAGAGGAGCCTGGGGCCTTCAGCCTGTTCCTGCCTGGAAGTGTCCTCTTCTGAGCCCACCTGGCAAAAGTATGTATGGTCTATCTTCAGGACTGGGGCAGGAGCAACTGAGATCCTGTTTGTGAACGTGTTTTCCTCAGGACCCTCCCTCTGGAGGGTCCCAATCTCAGGAAGTTGCTTTGAAAACTTTGAGAATCAGGGCACAAGGCACCCACAGCAGAACTGGTAATTAACACCTCCTTTTACAAACAAGGAAGCAGAAGCCCAGAGATAGAAAGTAATTTGCCCAGGAGACACACAGCAATTTCTTATCTTTACCCAATTGTCTGATGCCCAAGTATGCTTCTGTGGCACTATGCACAGCTACTGAAAATCACCATAGGTGGCAGGCTTGGGGTAGGGAGGTCGGGCTGCATCTGCTGTGCTGTCTCCCCAGCTCCAGGCTCAGGGCCAGGCTCAGGAAAAGTGTGTCTTCCGAGGCTCGCTGAGTCCTTGACCAGGAGGGCACAATGCAAGCAGGAGAACAATAGGGAGTGCGTGAGAGCCCAGTCAGAGAGGGTATTGATCATGCTTAAAAAAAGAAAGACACACTAAAGAGCACAGAAAAAAACCTTACCAATGCACCAGCTGGCTTAGCTAATTAGTGCGGGTGAGCTGTGTCAGCCACCAGCTCTGAGCCAGGAAGCAAACAATTCGCTCAACAAACAGAACATCTAAGGAGGAACAAAAAGCAAACAGCCACTGTCCCCTGGCCTCCAGAGAATCTGCACTGTCCAGAGAAGGGGGATGTGATGGGACAGGAGTGACACAGACTGAAATTGGGGTGGGGAGTGGAGGAGAGGACAGAGACTGTCCTGGGTGGAGCCTCCCTGGGTGAAGAGGGAGGTGGCATTTAGCAGTGAGGAGGAGGTGTCATCATGCCCAGGGTGGAGCTGCACCTTCTTTCCACAGAAAGGACCTCACTGGCCCGGGAAGCACTGGCTTCAGACTTGTCCCTATCTGGGGAGTCATTTGTCATTAAATTCTTGCTCTGGGATATTCATGACCATGGTGGGGGAGGCAGGAGGCAGCCCCTGGGTAGAGCCTGGAGACCTGGCCTTGGAGAGGAGGCTTGAGCCCACGAAGGCTAGGCATGCTGGGCGGAGTGCTTGCTCTGAGCACATAGTCCCTTCGGAGGTGAGAGCATATTCAGTGGGAAGGGGTGTGGGTGAATGAGGGTGCCTGGGTCTGGTCAGGGAGAGTGGCCCATGGGTTGATGGGCCTGGAATAGAAGAGTGGGGTGTGCTGAGGGGGGAAGGGGAGGAGCAGGGGGAGGGACCACTGGATAGTTTGGGGTCCTCAAGTGAGAGATTCAGGCTGTTTGGATTTGAAGCACTGAGTAATGAAAAAGAACAGAAGAAAAGGATGATAGAAGGGAAGAAAGGAAGAAAAGAAAAAAAGGAAGGAGGAATGAGCAGAGGGAGGAATGAGGAAAGAAGGAAGGAGAAGGGAAGGAAGGGCCTCTTCTGCATTACATACCTCCCCACTGAGCACTCCCTGGTGAGGTCAACATTATCACCCTCTTTCTAAATACGAAAAAATGGTCCAGGCAGCCAGCATTGTCCAAGTGCAAGATACAGTGAGCTTGACCCAGGTGAGTGACAGTGGCCCACTATTCCCACTGTGCCTTCTCCACCAGTGCCTCCTCTCTCTGCTTGACCCCAAGGCTCTTTCTCATACTGACTGGCAGCCCTGTGATCAGGAGAAAGACTAGCTCAGGAGGCTACTTACCCTCCATCCCATGTTTTGCCAGGAGGTGATATGATAGAGCAGAAAGAAGGCTGAGATGAGATTCACAAGAGCATGCTTGAGTGCCCACTGTCCCAGTTCCCAGCTGGGTGATCCTTTCCAGCACAGTGCCTCATCCCTGTGGACCTCTGTCTCATCACCTACTAAACCAGGATAGTAATTGGTTCCTTCAGAAGATTACATGACATTATATATAGCAAAAAGTTGTCCCCTTTAGGGCATGTAGCCCAAATGTTATTAGGAAATGTCACATTACTAAAAGAATTCCAAAGGGTTGAATGTGTTTTTCCTTTTTTCTTTTTAAAATTACATAAAAAGTAGTCATTAAATTGTGCTCTTTTCAGCCTTAGGGTACAAGGATCAGGGAAGTATACCAGGGATCTCGAGCTTTCCCTGGTCCCTCAGATCCCATTGCATGGTCCTTTCCTCCACTCCTGCCTGGGCTGTGGGCATGGGCTATGAGCCTTTGAGCACAGACTGGATCATGCTTGTAAATGTGCATGTGAACATGCCCACATTCATCCTCATCCATTTTTTGGCTTTTATGTCTCAGTTGATAGTTTTTGGCAATGCCTTTGCAACACCATGAACTACAGACAGGAAATAAGTCCCATCCATTTGTGCTGGTACAAGCTAAAGATTTTCTATAAAGTGCCCACGTTTCTAGGCTGGGGGATTGGATTTCACTGCAGGAGAAAAAAAATATTGTGAGGTGAGAGAAGTGCAGCAAAGGAAAATATTGGCCACTTTAATGATTTACAGAAGCATACAAACCTCCTTGCCCGCTGGGATTTCATATTTCCCCTCCTACCAGAAAGGGGGCTGGGGTAGGGGGCCTGATGGCTGCTGTGTGAGGAGGCCTGGAAAAGCCAAGGCTGGCCCCTTCCTGAGGTTGCCCTGAGCTGTAGTCCTGGCAGGGCAGTGTCTGACCCAGGAGAAAGGGTTGGAGAGAAGTGGAAAAAAGGATGAAAGGGCCACTCCCAGGCTGGGGCACCTGTTGCATGGTTGGAACATTGATGTTTGCCCTGGTTAAGCACCTTAGGAGAGGCTGCTCCCTCATTTTACAAGTGGGAGAAGTGAGACGGCAGAGATGTGAAGTGACTTTTCCATTGTCATCAGTGTGTTTATAGCAGCAAGAGTCCAAATCTTCCAGCTGCCAGTCCACATTCCTTCTGCTCTGTCTACTATGGATATGTTACTGTTATTCTTAGTATCATTACCATAACACAAAGGCCACCTAGGGCTTTCTGTATAGCAGGAACTGTCCTAACTATGTTACAGGCATCATGATGTTTCTCTCCATCTTCCTCTCTCTCTCTCTCTCTCTCTCTCTCTCTCTCTCT